TGCTTTGAAAAAAGACAGGACCAGGTTGATTCCCAAGAACTTTTTGTACCAGGGCATCCACAAGGGTGTGCATGAGTGTCAACAAGGAGGCTGGTGCAAGGTCACGACTGAAACTCTATTCCTGGCTGGGGGAATTCCAGGAATTAAAGTCCACCCATCTTAAAGTTGCAAAGGTTGGGAACCACTGTCCTAAGCATACGCTTTCCAGACCCACTGCAGAACTAAACGTTAGGAGAAAGCACAACTCCATGATAGGGCTATATATTGTGGTGAGTCATGTTTTACTTGGTTTATTTGAGCAATCAACAATGGGTTGAACAGTTAGAGGAAGAAATAGAAAAAATACATAGTGGAATAATGTCTCCTGGAAAAGAGCAGAGCTACAGTAGTTGCTTGCTCTTGCCGCAATAGATAAGATCCAGCCCCCCTTTTTTTTAGCCTTTAGGAAAAACCTTAAATCCTGGCTATGCCAGCTAGCATGGGGTCCTGAAGGAGAAGCTGTTGGCTGGAGGTGGTTTTGGCACTAACAGAGAAGTAACCCCCCACTTCTCCCTTCTAAACCTTTGTTTTTCTGTTTGTTTTAAATTTTTTTATTTTAATCTGTTTCATAATGGTTGAATGTGTGTTTATCACTTTAAACCAGGGGTCTTCAAACTTGGCCCTTTTATGACTTGTGGAGTTCAACTCCCAGAATTCCTCAGCCAGGCACGCTGGCTGAGGAATTCTGGGAGTTGAAGTCCACAAATCATAAACGGGCCAAGTTTGAAGACCCCTGCTTTAAACTGTGAGATGGACAGCTAATAAGTCTGATAAATAAATAGTTAAGAGATTGACTAAGAAGCCGCTATATTCCATTAGCTTGACTTGTCATAGTCTTTTGCACTAATATACACCAGATTGATAAATCTATAAATTTGCTGCTTCAAGCAAAACCTGGGGGGAGTGTGTGTGTGTGTGGGGGGGTGAACCGTTTTTTCAGGCAGCTTCAGAACAGTCCTGCCCTACAGCCATGAAGAGTAAAGGCTGCAGCTTCATACCATCCCAACTCAGGTCTCCTCTGGTTCCTTCCTCCTCATTCTTTTGTGAAACATTGATTTTTCCCTCCTTTGTTCCTCCTCTAAATTTAGCAAAATGGTACATTTCCGTGTTGACAACTAGTACTGGAGCCAGGCAGTGTGGGAAAGCTCAGGTCCTCTTCTCCATGCTTGGATGAAGCAACAACTGTACTGTCACATTATTATTATTATTATTATTAATTTAATTTATATACCGCCCTTCTCCCGCAGGACTCAGGGCGGTGCACAGCGTATTAAAAACAGTACAAATACAAAGCATAAAAATACAAACCCCTGTAAAACCAGATTAAAAAACCGAATATTAGAAGCTGTGTCTCTATTTAAAATTATTTTTAAAATCACCCTAAATAAA